GAACTCACCAGCGAGAGAGAAGGCAAGCAGCAAAAAGCCCCATGTTCTCCTCTGCCTTGGCCTTTTATACCGGCTGCCATCAGAAGGTAACACCCACATTTAGGGTGTGTCTTCCAGCTTCAGATGATCCAATCAAGAAGATCTCTTTCATTTCATTTAATCCCAGATCCAGTCAAGCTGACACCCAGGATTAGCCATCACACCAGGCGTGGTGAAAAGGGACATGACATTGGGCCAGGCAGTTTTCAGTCCAGCATATCCATAACTTGGGAGTAAACCTTTCCCATCTGAAGCAAGACCTGGGTGGTAATCAGTGGCTCCTGACCAACTCTTCACAAATGTACAAAGGAGCAGACAGTTGTAAGATTGGGTAAAGTGCCAGGAGCCCCTGTTAGAAGTGATGCTGGAGCTCAAGGCCTCTGCAATCAGTGTCTACCATTATTACCATCATTTTCCAGAAGGAAAACAAGTCTGCAGGAAGTGTTGCCAAGGTCACTAATTCAAAGGCCACCAATGACTGACAATGATCTCTTGGTTGAGTGACGTGGAAGTAGAGTATCACCCCACTGAAGGCAGCTCATCATGTGGGCCCCTCTTGCCACAAGAAAAGCTAGAAGCTTACATTTTTTTTTTGTTTTTTTTGAGACAGGATCTCCCTGTAGCCCCAGCTGTCCTGGAACTCACTATGTAGACCAGGCTGGCCTTGAACTCACAGAGATCTGCCTGCCTCTGCCTCCCAAGTGCTGGGATTAAAGGCATGTGCCACCACGCCCGGCGAAGCTTACATTTTTATGAGATTTTAACTAACAATCAATTTAGCTTATTTGAAAGTGCTGGGTTGGGCCTGGGGAGATAGCTCAGTTGGTAAAGTGCTTGCTTTGCAAACATGAAGACTTGAGTTCAATCCCCAAGAGCACATGTAAAAAAAAATCTGGGTGTGGTGGTGAGCAATTGTAATCTTAGCGCTGGGTAGGCACAGGCAGGAAGATCCTTGGGGCTCACTGGGCAAGCATCCTAGCCTACTTGACAAACTCCAGGCCAATGATAGACTCTGTCTCAAAAAGCAAGGTGGACAATGTGCCTGAGGAATGACAGCTGAATTGTCTCTGGCCTCTAGGTACATATGTACCCCTGTGCACTCCTGTGTACACACACACATACATGTATGTACCCTTACACATAAACATTCGCACACACATATACACATGCACACAAAATAAAACACTGTGCTAAAGTGAGTATAATACTAGCACTTGAGAGGCTGAGGCAGGAGGATTGCTATGAATTTGAGGCCAGCCTGGACCACAGAGTAAGACCCTGTCTCAAAAAAAAAAAAAAAAAAAAGGCCTACACAAAACAGATTCTGGAGGAATAGCTCAGTGGTTAAGAGCACTGGCTGCTCTTCCAGAGGACCCAGGTTCAATTCCTAGCACCCACATGGCAGCTAACAACTGTCTATAATTCCAGGTCCAAGGGATCTGACCCTCTTCTGGCCGCCACAGGCTTTGCATGACATGTGCACTTATATACATGCAGGCAAAACACTCATACACATAAAATAAAAATAATTCCCAACCCCCCCCCACAAAAACAGTAAAAAAATATTAAAAAAACCACTCTGCTGGGCATTGCTCTGTAGGCTGCTTAGGGATTGTGGCTGCCAGTTTGTGACCTCCATTGCAGGGCCCCTCTGGATTCTCATTTTCTTTTTTGTTTTCCAGGCCATCAAAAACTTTGCTTGTAAGAAACTTAGCTTTCTGGGATGCGGATATAGCTTGATTAGTAGAGTACTTGCCTAGCTCAACCCTGAGGCCCTGGGCTCAACCTTTACCACTGCATAAACCTGGCTTGGTGGTGCATGTCTGTAATCCCAGCAAGAGGCTAGTCTGAGTTTCAAGAAGCCCTGTCTAAAAAAAATAAAGAAGAGCTGGGCGTGGTGGCGCATACCTTTATTCCCAGCACTTGGGAGGCAGAGGCAGGAGGATCTTTGTGAGTTCAAGGCCAGCCTGGTCTACATAGTGAGTTCAGGTCAACTGGGACTACAGGGAGACCCTATCTGAAAAAGACAAAAAAAGTAAAATAAAATAAAAAATAAATAAAAATAAAAAAAGAAGAATGAATAAAAGTTACTCTCTAGTTGTAGCTTTAAGAAGGGATCAATGACCTATTGTCAATTCATTAAGTAATTAATTACTTTAGCAGTTTCTGAGCACTAGCTCCAAGATAGGCCCTGTCCAGAGTGTGAGGACTGAACAGAATGAGAAGGTCCCTAATCTTGGGAGCCCTCCATATGTAATGGGGGAGAGGGTACAAATAATTACAACCCAAGGTTCCAGATGCCATGGCCAAGGATGTGCAAGATGCTGCGGAAACATTAAGGATGGTGGGTGAGTGGTGCCTGAGAGTCATGGAAGGTTTTGGGGTGGGAGGAAGCCTCTGAACTGCGACTGGAAGGTTGAGAAACAGTTTTTCAGGTGGAGTGGAAATAGAACTGTGAATAGGAGCAATCACCTGTACGAGCACAAAGCTGGATGTGGCAGGCCATGTCTTTGTTGTAGTGTATCAGCATTGTGAGTGTGGGCAGTGGAGGCAGTGGAGGGAGGAAGGGATGGTAGACTCACAGTATGATTGTGAAGGCTTTGCTGTCCAGGCCAGGAATTCAGGCCTTGGCCTTGACCTGCAGAGGTTGTCAACAGGAGAGTGCTCAGGTCTGTTTTCTTTTATTTCCCTCAGCAGCCTTTCAGCTGAATTTCTGCTCTCAGTTCTTTGCATCAGACCCATCCTATTTCTATCAGACTATCTTTCCCAAAGCACTGTTTTGTGACTGCTAGTCAAGAGTCGATGTTGGCTTTCTATTTTCCAATGTGTGAGGAAGCCTTATTTCTGTCTGGCTTTTAAAACTCCCAAATCTTCCAGCTTATTTCCCATTGTTCTCTGTAGCTCCAACCTCCACTCTGGTCAGACCTGTCTTGCTATAACTGTCATGCCCCTTCCCTTGCATACTATGCCCAATGCCATCTCTGGATGGATCTACATTTTGGAACTTTCCCTCCATCACAGCAGGGGGATGGATTGAGAGGAGACACCCAGGGATGGAATGTCATTAGAAGACATGGTTGCTAAGACAAGATGAGGTCTGGCTCCTGGAAGCCTCTAGGCAGAGAGTGGGCAATAGGGATGTTTAGGAGCTGGGCCAGGGCAGTGCTGTCAGGCAGAATCACTGCCCTAGCTTTAGGTGGTAGGCCCAGCACTATAGGGGTTTCTCTTTGACCCAGGTGAACTCACATCGAGACAGCGTCTTCACCTTCCTCAGCCAGAGCCTGGAGTATGCCAAGAACTCACGGGCCTCCCTCCGGAAGTCCTCTGTCATCTTCATAGGTACCTGTTCTAGCATAAGCAGTCCTTCCAAGGCTCTGCATGTTCTCCAGCCTGCAGTTCAAACAATCCCAACCTCTGCCCTTTGGGGGAAATTCAATTGCAGATTCTGCTTTCTTAGTATCTCTCATAAGATCCTTCTCATGACATTCAGGACTCTCTCTCCCACCCCACTGTAATACTGTCTAATACTTCTCTCCCCTGCCTAAATATTGCATTCTTTGCACTAAGGGCAGGAGACTTTGCTGCAGAGAATCCTGGATGTGGTGACCTCTGTAAAGTGATATTTCTTTTAGTGTATGCTCTTAATTCATTTGTTCTCTCTCATACACCCATCCATCCATCTACCCATCTATACATCCATTAACCTATCTACCAATCCACCCATCCATCCATCTACTCATCCACTCATTCTTCTATCCACCTACCCATCCAATTATCTATCCATTGATCCATCTAACTATCCACCTACCAACCCACCCACCCATTCATCCATTGCCCATCCATCCACTCACTAATCCATCTATCTACCCATTGACTCACTCACTCATACATGCATCTATCCACTCATCTTTCTATCCATTCATCTGACATGTCCTTGTTGTAGAGCATGTGAGTGTGGGCAGTGGAGGCAGTGGAGGAAGGAGGGGATGGTAGACTTACAATATGATTGTGAAGGCTTTGCTAGTCAGGCCTGGGAATTCAGGCTTTGGCCTTGACCTGCAGAGGTTGTCAACAGGAGAGTGCTCAGGTCAGTTTTCTTTTATCTCCCTCAGCAGCCTTTCAGCTGAATATCTGCTCTCAGATTCCCTGGGGAAGTAGGCAGAGGAAGCAGTACTTCCCCATGTCACAGATCAGGAAGCTAAGTCTCTTGAGAATCTGCCCCCTTATCAAAATGAAGCTCTCCTTTCACACCCTCATTTGTGGGGCTGGGGGAGGGCAAGGAGATTCTGTGAAGCATCTGGTCCAATGGTGGAAGGGGCAAGTACCATGTCAGGAGGTAGACGCTTTCACCTCTTCGATTATCCAGGATCCCTGGTATCCTGCTTGGAGGACATCATGACCAAAGAGCAGCTGAATGGAGTGAAAGCCAGTAAGTCATGCCCTGGGTTGGTGAGATCTCTGGGGTTGGTGGGAGGTAGTGAGACTACGAGCAGAATTACAGTGGTTAACGGGAAGGGAAGAGACATAGTTCAGGGCAAGAGTCCTAAGGTCAGTTTTGTTGGGCTAAGTTTTATCCAGTGAGTGCAATTAACACCAAGAGGCATAATGCATAAACTCTTAAGGGGGCACAGGTCCATTTTGCAACTGAGGGAGCTGATGGGAGCATGAAAGTGGGCTGGAAAAATCCAGGAAGGCTTCCTAGAGAAGGTAAGGTTTTAATGCAGCCGTGAAAGATGTAAACAATTTGAAAAGGGAAGAAAGTGAGGGGAGGAGATGCCACACAGGGTGTCTAAGCCAAGGCTAGGAGATGGGAAGGAAGGACGGGGTATGACATCCACCTAGGGAGGGTCCTTGTCTAAACAAGTGGCTTTTCTCCTTCCCTGACCCAGCCCTGGGGAACTTGAGACACGATCCAGAAGCATCAGTGTGCATCTATGCAGCCCAGGCCCAGGACCACATCCTGGCCTGTTGCAGGCAGAACTCTTGGCCTCTGCCACATGGGGATTCGTGGGTGTGTGACCTATCCAGCACACACCGCTGGAGCTCCAGCTGTGAGAACCTGCCTACCTCCCACCAGCGGCGCTCCTGGATCATGCAGGCCCTGGGCTCCTGGAAAATGTCCTTGAAGCAATGATATGTCAGAGTCCCCAGCCCTTCCCAGGCTGTCCGAGGGCAGCAGTTCACTATGAATATCATGTGGTCAACCTCTGCATCCATAGGGCTTCCTCATGGGAGGTGCTCTGGGCTTTGTGCAGCTGTCACTCTGTGACAAATCTGTGAAAGGAGCATGGCCTTCATTTACTCATTTGGTTGACATTTACTATTCACACAGGCTGTGTTGTGCACTTTGTATAATGGGAAACTGAGGCTCAGAGAAGTGAAGTGGGTCTACCAAGGCCACATAGTAAGTCTGTTGGACATCTTAATCTCCCCTCCCCCAATGATAAGAACAGATGATGATTTAGGTGGCCCTTGAGACAGCAAGGGAGAAAAGGGATTCTTTCCACTCTATGACATCATGCATATTCAGGAGCCACGGGCTCTGGGTCCCATCCCTTGGGTCTTTGGTCATCATAAATTCTAGAAGCACCAATTGAGACAGTTCCAGGTACCACCGATGCAGACAGAAAGGAGACCAGGCCGAGACCCTGGGCATCATAGTCTGATGCAGTAATTCTCAAATGCCTTTGACCACAAGGAATATTTAATGAGCTCTGGAGACATTTCTGGTTGTTACCACCTAAAGGTAATGATGTCATTAACATCTGGTGAGTAGGGGCCAGATATCGGGCATGCCGCTAAATACCCTACAGTATGCAAGCAGCAAAACTGTCAAAAATGCTAAGGTTGAAAATTTTTGGTCTGGTGGAAGATTCAGAGACATTTAAAGGCACCAGGAGCTCACCTGACAGGCATGGGGGTTGTGGTATCCAGAGGCTGCATGTGTTAGCGGGGCTTGGGGTGTCAAAGAAGAGACCACTTAGGGGTTTGGAAAGATGACCTCATATGGGCATCTATGGAGGGGAGCAGGGTACATGACACCAAGAACCAACTGTAGATTCATGGTGAGATGGAGCCTAAAGAGGAGAGATGTGAGAGGACCAGATCCTAAAGACTTGGAGGCTGTGTGAAGGAGGTAGACTTCATTCAGAGGGCAGTGGGGAGGCCTGGTAGTGTGCCAAGAAGGGAGAGGTATGGACAGATGTCAGCTTCAGAAAACTCCTTGTGGGATACAGGAACTCCTAGGCACTGCTGGTGAGGCCGATAGATTGATGCAGCTATTCTGGATATGAGTCTGTCACTAGCGAGCCATAGTAAGTTTATGAATATTCATGATCCAGTGGTTCTACTTGTGAGAACACCTCTTAGGGTAACCTTCCCACAGGCCCATAAAGAGAGTGGTATTCTCTGTGAGGGCAGGGAAGGAGACAGACTGGGTACTCATCCTTGGAGAGTGAGTGAGCTCCTTGAAGTCTCACATACAGTTACAGGCAGTGGGAGTAGATTTATCTGCATGGATAGAACCACAAACCTAGTGCTGAGTGAAAAAGTGTGCTAAAAATGCATGTACAATTTTGCTTTTTGAGACAGGGTCTTGCTATCTATAGCCTAGGATGGTCTTGAACTTATGATCCTCCTGCTTCAGCCTCCTAAGTGTTGGGATTACAGGCATATGTCACCAGGCCTAAGAATTCACACTAAAAATATTTTATATTCTTTTAAAAAAGTTATTTATGCTGGGTGTGGTGGCGCACGCCTTTAATCCCAGCACTCGGGAGGCAGAGGCAGGTGGATCTCTGTGAGTTCAAAGCCAGCCTGGTCTACATAGTGAGTTCCAGGACAGCTGTGGCTACAGGGAGACCCTGTCTCAAGAAAACCAAAAAAAAAAAATTATCTATTGAAAATTTCATACAGGCATATAAACATATAGGGTGTTTTGATCAAATCCATGCCCACTTCCTCCCCTCCAACTCCTCCCATATCTCCCCATCACTTTTTTCTGATAACTTCACGTACTCTTTCTTCTTTTTGCTACTCCAACATTCCCCCTTCTGAAGAGGTAACCCTAAAATATTTTAAAGATTAGATAAGAGCTCCTGAATACTTTCAACAGTTTTGGCCTTTGGAATGGAGTATGTTGCTAAGAGACTCAGGGTCATTTTGACGTTTAGCCGAAACGGGCTACTTTTCTTTGGGGTCTTTTTACACTAACTGCCTAGTCAAATCCTACCTCCTATTCTTATCACCCCATCCTCTGAAGAGGTTACCCAACTTGTGGATAGGGAATCGGGACACAGACTGCTCTGGCTTCTTCCCTTATGATTAGGAATGCAGGGTGAGGCAATTGGGTACCCCTTCAGTGGGTCTATCGAAAAGACTCCCACACTGTGTAACTCTTATCTGTAGGGGGAAAAAAAAGGTCCTTGACTGGTGAATAGGAGATGTGAAGGAGAAGTAAAGACAAGAGTAACTAGCATTACAAGTTCCAGACAGGGAACTAGAAAAATGTCAGAACAGGGCAATTTTCAAATGTTCATATGAGAGTCCATTGGAATCTCTTGACAAGGGCTTCCAAAAGCATCCCTCTATTGGGTTCCTCCTCATTTTTCTTTTGTCTTCCAAGGCTGGACTCTAGAGTGATGGATTCAGGATTTGCTCTCAGGTATTTTGATAGCTGTTGGAGTTGTTAGAATCAGTGTCAGTTCCCTCTCAAAGGCTTCTAGATAGGGGGAGAAAACAAATTTATCCATCATCTTAGAACAATAGCTGGTTGTCTCCCTTAGCTACAGTACTGCAGACCAAGATCTGAAGTCTTATATCTGAGCAGCAGTTTCTGATTCAGAACAAAATCATCAATGAGAAATAATTGCCTAAATAACTTTTTATATGGACTTAAGCCTAATGTCTTAGAAGTGTAATCCTTTGAACTTTTAAAGAAATATACTGATGAATTTACTCTTTGGTTATACTTTCCTTTTGGGTGTCCATACAGTTGGCCCAAATAAATCAATTTATATTTATACTTAAGGCTGTTTGAGGATCTGTTCCTCAGGGGTCACATGAGCTTGGGAGGAGCCCCTGGGTCCTTTCTTTTACCAGTTCCATCGATAAGTCAAAGGTCCTGTTCCACCATGGCTGGCTTTACTTGGAAGTATGAAGGAAGTACTTCCCCGCCTCTTTGTAGATGGGACACTGGTTCAAGTCCATCTGGTGGGATCTCCATGGCCTCCCTGAACAAGAGGACAGGTGTCTCACCACAGTTATAGGACATTTTGAGAGATGTTCCATAGTCCCTGGAACTTAGTTGCAAGGGGCAAAAACTGTCCTTTAAGTCCCTCTGACCACATTAGTATAGGCCTCAAACTATGGCTGTTAAACATCCAATAAGGTTAGTTCCACCAGTCTGGTACTTTTAATTCCATCTGGTCCTTTTAATTACCATGTGCCATGTAGATAAAACTTTGGCAAAAACCAAACATTTTTTTAAAAAAAATATATATTTTGTTCCTTAGATTAGTTGACTAAACTATGACCATAGACATTTTAAGATTATGCATGTATCATTTTTGTCTCATCCTTTTTATATTACAACAAACCTAAACAGGCTTTCATCAATTTTGGAAAATATCTCCATTCCCATATCCCTTTAACATCTTTTATATTCTCATTTTCTTTTTTAATAATTATGAGGCATAATTACATTAACAAATAAATTTTCCATCTGTTGTGAGAATTCTTTTCCTGGGGATACTAGGCAATGCTTATTCCCTTTTAAGGTTCTGTTTTAATCAAACAACCAATGTTTGATTAAAGGTTTTCCTGGGGAACCAATGAATTTACTGACCTTACTTACAGAGATGACTGAGGGTTTGCTGAGATGTATGAGTGACCTTGGGGTATGCACACTGGAAAGCCTTTACCCAGCATGGATCAAGCCTCTTCCTAGCCTTCCCCAGATTGTACACTTTAGCTCCCTGCCCCCGCCAAATTCAGGAGACCATGTGTGACTAGGGCCAAATTACATACAGTTGGCTGGGAAGAGTGGGTGGATACTCTGGTGAGGGTCCAATGACCCTGCTTGCCCCTCCTTTAATGAGGGAGCACAACCGACAACAAGCCCAGTTGTGACGGATGTTTAGCAGTCAGGAACCGCTGAGTTGTGATGATGGTAGTTATTTCATGCAAAAGAGACTGCGGTACAGTATCATCTTATTTTATTTATTATTTTTATTTTATGTGTATGTGTGTATTGCCTGCATGTAGGTCAGTGCACCCGTGTCATGCAGTGCCTGCAGAGGTCAGAAGAGGCTGTCGTATACCCTGGGACTGGAGTTACGGACAGTTGTTAGTTGCCATGTAGGTGCTGGGATTCGAACCCAGGTCTTCTGCAAGAACAACTAGTGTTCTTAACCACTGAGCCATCTCTCCAGCCTCTAGTATCATCTTATTAAAAGGACACGGACTTTAAAAGGATTTGGTGCTAGGACCCACAAATGAGGGAGAACATATGTCTTTTATTTTTCTGAGTCTATGTTACTTTACTTAGTATAACAGTTCCTAGATCCATCCATTTACCTTCAAATTTCATTATTTCATCTTTCTTTACTGATGAATAGAACTCCATTGTGTAAATATACCACATTTTTGTTAACCACTCGTCAGTTCAGGGACACTTAGGTTGTTTCCATCTCTTAGTTATTGTGGAAAAGAACAACAACAAACATGGATGTACAAGTGTCTCTGCAATAGGA